TATATATATATATATATATATATATATATATATATATATATATATTCTGTAGCTGTCCTCCCACATCAACAACAAAGCCCATTTGTCTCGTGTACTTGGACTATCTCACTGCAGCAGTTGCACGTCTCTTTTCCATGGCGGCCGGTGCTATCAGCATGCCTTGGGATGAGACCGACGTCTCCTCTCGTTATAGACGGAGACTCTCCAACCGGACAGACATATTCCCCTAACATTTGGATCTCTCCACGTAAATATGCCGACGGCAACACACGCTAAATGCCAATCTTTGATAAAGGGTACAATGCATAAACACTTACGATCAAAGCTTTGTATTCTGATGGGGTCATCACAGCGCCTTCCCTAATAACAACATACCTTTGTCACATGTATATATGCCACTGCCGGTTATCTAACATCCGCCGGTGTTTTCCTTCGATGGTCGATGGCCCTCGATGAAGCTTCTGACATCCTCCATGAGCACCGCTGACTGCTTCAGGTCGGGGAAGGCGAAGAAGGCGTGGAAGGCCTCCGGGTACTCTACCAGCCGCGCTTCCTTCCCCCTCGCTTTCAGCCCCTCGTAGTACCTCCGCTGCCAGTCCTGCAGCGGGTCGAACCCCCCCACGACCACCAACGCCGCCGGCAGGGCCTCCTCCAGCTCCCCCGTCACCCGCGGCCCGAACACGTTCGATGCCTCGTGGTCCCTGTCCGCCCCCTCCGGCAGGAACGCCCGCCACAGCCAGTCCGTTCGCTCAACTGTCACCAGCGGCGCCCCGGCCAGCCGCACCTCCGCCTCTGTTCGCTGCTCACCGCCGAAGTACGGCTGGATGAGCACCATGCCCGCGAGCCGCAGCCTCTTCCACCCGCTGCCGGCTCCTGCAGCCCAGCGCCGGGCCACGTGGTGGCAGATGTTCGCGCCGGCGGAGTCGCCGACCAAGAAGCATCTGGACAGGTCGGCGAGATCGGCCGCTAAAGGGTCAGCGTACAGCAGGCCGACGCGATCCAGGAAGCGGAGCACGTCGACCCCGTCCTCGTACGGCGCGGGGTGTCGGTGCTCCGGAGCCAAGCGGTAGTTGACGGATACGACGATGGCATTGACCGTGCGGCAGAGCCGGCGACAGACGTGGTCGTAGAGGTAGGAGGCGGGGGAGAGGAAGGCGAAACCGCCTCCGTGGAAGTAGACGATGACGGGGATCTTGAGGCCGGCGGAGTCGGAACAGGGGATGAAGAGGCGGAACCAAACGTCGCGGGAGGTGTCGACGGGGACGTCGACGGTGCGGATGCCGTGGACGGGTTTGGCGGAGGCGGAGGATCGGGCGTCGAGGAGGGAGACGAGTCGGCGGTTGACGGTGCCGTCGGATCGGCAAGCGGCGTCGTTGATGGCGGAAGCGGCTGCAATGATGAACCGCTTGGTGATCGAGAGGGGCGGAGCCACGGCGGCAAGGCCGGGCTCATCCGGCGAGCGCATCTCTGCGGCTACCGCACCGGCTCCCTCGGAAGCGGTTTCACAGTGTCCCGCGAGGGAGCGAGTTGGAGGGCTCATCCGGCGAGGGACTGCATATATAGAGACCGATCACGACTCAGGATCCGCCACGTGTCATCCAGCCCAAGGCCCCACCAACGCCGACAAAAAACAACTAAATCATCCCCGAAACCACCTCCTCCTCGTTGGCTCTCTCACAACCATAATTTGTGGGCCCCAACACAAGCCTGATGTGGCCTGATGTGTGGACCACAACCATCTCAACGATCGCTCACGTGAACCTTACGATGTGCATTAAATCGTGCACGTGGTTGGAAAGACTAAGAGATCCACGTGACACTCGCCATGTTAAGGTCGTATTTATACACTGCCTTAGATGCAGCCACGTGGCCATATACTATCATCTCAACCGTCCAAATCTTCTCATGGGAGGGACGTTTGATTTGATGTGCATTAAGCTAAAAATATATATTATCATCGAAATTGATTAGTGTATTATTGTGTAAATAATAGATCTATGATTTAAAAAATATTCCATATATAATCCAATTTCTCATAATCCATTAAATAACAAATCAAGGGAGAGAAATATATAATCTCACCAATTAATTGACTATTATCTACATATAGTGGACTAAAAATACTCAATATAGACTTTCCGCTACTGTATTGATATACCCCTATCTTTCTTATGTACATTGCAGGCAATACCTCCGTCACAAGTTAGATTATCCCAAATGAAAGAGTTTTTAATGGCATGTACAAATTGAGTCCCACCAATTAGTTGAACATTAAGTGGAAGTAGTTGACCACTCACAGCTTGCATCACTCCCTTGCAAATGTAGTCAACCTCGCCATTAGGAGGGGTGACTTAAAGTGTATTTTTATAAAACAAAACAAAATAAAAATCGAAAACCTCCAACGTGATATGCGTGTTGTTTCATTTTTGTGGCACTCAACAAGCCATTTCTTAATGGTTTAGACGATCGATCGTCTTTGATTGTGAGCCACATTTTGGCCCGTGTTAATAATCTTAAGTGATTGAAGTAAGCGATTACATCATATATCTCTTTCCACATCTTAAATGATAATTATTTTATGTTTGTTATAATGGTATTAAGAGAGGGGGTGAATTAGTACTTTCGTAAAAAATTAAGTCAATTCAAAACTTTCGACTAAATAAAAATATATTAAAAAATATGTTGAAAGTGTGCTTGACTTAGAATAAAAATGATAAGTAATTAAGATAAAAAACAATAGTAACGAAGAGCAGCACGAAAGTATACATCAATTTTATAGTAATTCGGTCGTCGTGATCTACATCCACTCTCGATTTCTCCTCCGTTGAGATTATCGGCGTCCACTATCGATCGTTCTTCAATGAGCGAAGACCAACCAACATCTTATATTACTTTCTCATTTTTACAGGTTTAGGAGATCATCTTTTACAAGTCTCACACCTCTCTTAGATTGATCACAAAGTTAAAAAGAGCAGGACACTTAGCACTTTTTCAATACTTTCATAACCAAAATCTCAATGACTTTTGTTCAACGTTCGTGCTCTTTCATGTAAGAAAGAGTGGGGTATTTATAGGGCCAATGACTTTAAAAATGGAGCAAAAAAGTATCTCATCCCTGGGCTAGGTACTAGTAGTACCACAGTTAGTACTAGGCGGTACCATTGCCTGCACACTGATACTAGGTGGTACTATTGCCTGATAGAGTTTTGGAGATTGAGGTCTGGTGGCACTAATGCTGACATGGTGGTACCATCACTTGGTAGTATTAACGATCGACGGTACCACCGCCATACCACCTGGGAGGCTGAGCCTCAAGTGATTCCACCGTCTAGATTGGGCGGTGTCATTGTATGACGTGGCTCTAAGTGGTTGAATGAGCCATCCAACTAGTCCTGTTTAGGGCCTAGTTGACTCCTAATTCAGTTAGTATGATTTCTCTCAAAACTAACTCAAATTAAAGTCCTAACTATGATAGTTAAGGCTAAAACAATTATGATACAATGAATCTAAGTTGTCCGACATGTCATTTATTCAACCGAACTCTCGATAAACTTTTGACGAACTCTCGACGATCTTCCGGTGAGCTTTCGACGAACTCCCATTGAACTTCCGGCGAGCTTTCATTGCATCATCCGATCCTTCGATATATCACCCGACTCAACTAGCTCGATGCCCAATCATTGACTCCGGCTCAATATTAGATTCTTCTTTAATCATTTTGTCTGTCTCACGATCGTAGTTAGTCTTACATCACGTATCTCAAAACATGTATTAGATCATTAATTCATCAATTGATTTAAATCGTCAAAATCAGAGATTCAACAATATCTCCTTTTTTGATAATGACAACCAATTGATGACGAAGTTAATCTTAACTCCCCCTATCTATATGCCATATTGAGATAAGACAAACTTGAATTCAAAAGGAATCATAATCCTTGAATTTAAACAATTTTGATCAATGTAATATATTAAAATTTCATACATTATGCATCATTATAGTTCCAAGTTATCATGCATAATTTCAACACTTCATAACAAATCAATATTACTTTAGGCATAACCTACATTATACTTTAGGCATAACCTACATTATACTAAGACTCTCTACGGTATGAAACAAGCCGCAAGGGCTTGGTATAAGAGACTTAGTTCCTTTCTAATTAAAAATATTTTTTGAAAGACATAGTTGATACCACATTATTTATTAAATATTTTAAAAATAATTTTCTTATAATTTGAATTTATATTGATGAGATTATTTTTGGCTCTATGAATAAGTGTTTAAGTGAATACTTTGCCAAAATTATGAGCCAAGAATTCGAAATGAGTTTAATGGGCGAATTAACTTTTTTGTTATGATTGTAAATTAAGTAACTAAGTGATGAAATTTTTTTAGTAATTAGATTATGCCTAAAGTAATATTGATTTGTTAATCATTTTAGTAAGAATTCGAGAATCTAATGTCTGGCTAGAGTATGATTAAAAAAAAATAGTATTCTCAAATTTGGATGGTTGTTCAACATAAACTTCTTCGAAAACGAAGCTATTAAGAAAAATACTTTTAATATTCATTTAAAATAACTTAAAATTATTACAACTAGCATAAATAAAGAGAACCCCTATGACTTCAAGCTAGCCATAGGAGCTAATGTTTCTTTATAATTGATACATTCTTCTTGGTTGAAACATTTGGCCACTAATTTAACCTTGTTTATAACCACAATACCAAGTTCATCTTGCTCATTTCTAAAGACTCATTTATTATCAATTACTAAATAGTCACTATGTCAAGAAACAAGCTTTCACACCTTATTTCTCTTAAATTAATTTAACTACTCTCGCATTGCATTGCAATAACCCTTGAATCATCTTTTCGGACTTCCTTAATACATTTTGGCTGAATTTGAGGTAAAAAGACTGCATCTGAATAAATTTTTTTTAAAAGAACGAGTTTGAACACATTTTGATGTGTCTCAAATGATTAACTCCTTAGGATGAACATCTATATACTTCCAATCCTTAAGTAAGGATTCTTTGGAAGAAGATATATCCAAGTTGCTTGAGGGATGAGAGTTTTCATTCAAATTTAAAGTATCAAAATTAAAGTCACCATAAAAATTATTTTTCTTAAATTAAGGAAGCTCATTAAAAACAACATGAATAGATTTCTCTATAACCAAAGTTCTTTTATTAAAGACATGAAAAGCTTTAGACATGGAGGAGTAACTTGGATATATATTCTTCCAAGAAATAAGGCGTAACTTGGATATAGAGAAATCCTCCATGTCTTTAATAATTTGAGGCCACATGGAAAAATCCTTCATCGGGTTTTGTATCAAATTTTCCTAAGACATCTTTTTTATTTAAAACTGATAAGGCGGTACCACTACTTGGCAACATTGATAGATGATCGTACCACCGCCCAAGCCACTTGGGAGGTTAAGCCTCAGGCGATTCCAACGCCTGATGTGGCTCCAAGTGGCTGAATAAGTCATCTAACCGACCAAATTTAGCACTGTTTAGTGCCCAGTTAGTCCCTAATTAAGTTAGTAGGATTTTTCCTAAAACTAACTCAAATTGGAGTCCTAACTACGATAGTTAAGGCTAAAACAAATTACGATATAAGGAATTTAAGTTGTCCGGCACATCAATCGTTCAATCGAACTCTTAGTGAACTTTTAGCGATCTTTCGATGAGCTTTCGATGAACTTTCACAATATCGTCCGATCCTTCGGTGTATCACTCGATTCATCCAGCCTAATATTCAATCATTGATTCCGACTAGACATTAGATTCTTCTTTAATCATTTTGTTTATCTCACGATCGTAATTAGTCCTGCATCACTTATCTCAACACATGAATTAGATAATTGAATTGATTTCATAATCAAAATTCGAGATTTAACAATATTACTTGATGCTTATAATTACTTTAATCATCAATTGATTTATGTAGAGAAAGTAACGATATTTTCGATTATAATTACTTTAAAAAAGAATATTAATATCATTTAACCTTTAATTAATAAGCACATGACGAGTTCTTAGATTTTGTATAGATATACTTGATGCTAATCTTAAATTTAGATGTACATACATAAATTTAGGTATTTATATATGGATAAAAATACTAGAAATATTTCAGGGTTTTAAATATTTTTAGATTAATATTAACTTTAACTAGTCATGGTTAAATCGAGTTCCTCTTAAATTGAATCGAAACAAAATTAAAATCGAACCAAGCCAATGTTTCGAAGGTTTTAAACCTTATCAAACTATATTAGAGGCCACATGGTTTCATTCCTATTCCTATAAATGGAAACTGATATCATTGATTTTATTTTAAACTGATAATCAAAAAATAAAAATAAAAAAATAAATATAAATCAAACCAATATTGTATGATAAATATTTTAGATTTAAAGTTTATTGACATGTGTTCGAATTTTAATGGAGTATTTTATTTTTTTAATTAAAATCAATAGGTCAATCAAAATGAAACCGAAAGTTCGGTCCGAGGAGCACTGTGAGACTGCTTTCAGCAGTTGTTCGTTGGATATCGATACCAGCAGCAGAACTGATCGGCCCTCCATGAGTTGCCACCAAAGCGCCGCCACCGCCCCCCCCCCCACCCCGCCTACCGCCGATGTGAAGCTCGACGATGCCTGGTTTGTCTTCTTCCTCGTGTTGCGATCAACTTCATTACACGACATCCAACCTCGACGTAATCCGTGTCGTCTGTCAGAAAACGATACCTCACCCACATTCCAGTCTCATTACTCTTTTCGTATTTCGTATCCGGAAACATTCTCGATTGCGTAGTGGAGGAGTCGGTTCGGTCCCTTAAATGCCGCGTGTCGCGACTTGAGTGGTGGTCATTTTGGCAATGGCGGACGTGGCCGCCGCTGGTTGCATTTCACGCCCCACGTCGCTGTTCGTTACGTAAGTTTTGCGTTAACTGGTGGCTGACTAGGTTACCAGATCAGTCCATCTCCGACGACGCGACATGTGATGAGCACGTGACTGTTATCTTTATCTACCCTTCTTCGCCCCCCTCGCTCGCCCTCAGCTTACGAACCGTTTCCCGTGAGGTACAGAGGGGGAGTATAATAAAATGACGCAAAAGGCCTCCTCGCTGGCGAGTGGCGGCCGTTCTTTAACTTCGCCGCCGCTCCCGTGGACGACGCGGCTCTACATCGCTCTGCTCTCCGTCGTCACCGACGGCGCTCGCCGCTCAAACGGCACCATCAATCGCTGCCTCCTTTCCTTCTTCGACGCCCGCTCCTCCGCCTCCGCCAAGCCCCGCCACGGCGTCCGCACGGCCGACGTCCCCGTCGATCCCTCCCGTGACCTCTGGTTCCGCCTCTTCGTCCCCAGTTCTGCGTCGTCCGGCCGGATTCCCGTCATCGTCTACTTCCACGGCGGCGGGTTCGCCTACCTCTCCCCCGCCTCCCGCGCCTACGACGCTTTCTGCCGCCGGATCTGCCGCAAGATCAACGCCCTCGTCGTCTCCGTCAACTACCGCCTCGCCCCGGAGCACCGCTACCCGGCGCCGTACGAGGACGGGGTCGACGTGCTTCGATTCCTGGACGACGGAGGCCTCGCCTCCGCCGACCCTACAGCCGCCGGCCTCGCCGACCTCTCCCGCTGCTTCCTGGCCGGCGACTCCGCGGGCGGGAACATGGTCCACCACGTGGCCCGGCGCTGGGCCGCGGACGCCGCGGGGGGATGGAAAAACCTTCGGCTGGCGGGGATGGTGCTGATCCAGCCGTTTTTCGGCGGGGAGGAGCGGACGGAGTCGGAGAATCGGCTGGTGGCGGCGCCGCTGGTGTCGGTGGACCGGACGGACTGGCTGTGGCGGGCGTTCCTGCCGGAGGGGGCGGACCGGGACCACGAGGCGGCGAACGTGTTCGGGCCGCGGGCTGATGGCGAGCTGGAGGCGGCGCTGCCGGAGGCGATGGTGGTGGTGGGGGGCTTCGACCCGCTGCAGGACTGGCAACGGCGGTACTACGAGTGCATGACAGAAAGGGGGAAGGCGGTGCGGCTGCTGGAGTACCCCGACGCCATCCACGCCTTCTACGTCTTCCCCGAGCTGAAGCAGTCGGCGGCTTTCATCGACGAGCTCAAAGCCTTCATCAAGTAGCAGTCGTGGGTGAAATAGTAACCGGAAAGCGGTAATGAATGTAACGTGTTAGTGGTTGTGGTTGTGAGGAAGAAGACTGAGATGAGATGGCAATGCTGAGTGACGGTCAATATTGTGGTTTAGGTATGTAATTTTTGCGTGTAATGTGAGCAACTTTCTTTATATGAGTTCATTAAATGGGCCGTTTGTTGCGCCCCATTTAATGCCTCAAATTTGCTGCAGTGGTGTTGAAGGCATATATTAACTCAATAACTTATTTATATGATTATTACTAAATTCTAAAAATTAAAATTTTATGTTTTAAGTACTATCTATTTATTTGCTAACAGACATAAGGAAACAGTGCATCGGAATAGACAGCTGTAGATAAATAAACCAAGTAAGTTGGTGGTTCATGCAACAAGTCACGATGCCACGTGAGGCCACGTTCCTGGTGTCGGATAAGTGGTACCAGCATTATCCATATTTAATTTAAACTCAGAAATGGTAGACCGCATGTTTCGATGCCCGAGTCATCATCGAAAATGAGCTATTGAAGATTGAGACATTTGCATGTGTGTCTTTCAGAGGTTCAATATTATATTTATGAAAAATTGAGTAGGAAATTTAGGCTTTTTATCACTGGGATTTTCTTCATTAATTACAATTTTACTAGTTCTTTTAATATTATCTTACAATATATTTTCGATTTAATATTTCACACTATTTTGGAATACGATCATCAATTTCGACTACCCGACCTAACAGACTCCTCATACTTGCAACCATCCTCACATGGCATGTTGTCCTCTCAACAAGTTAATTTGACCGTTACTCAAATGTGTTAGTTCGGGTCGCCAGATTGAGCTCGGAATACGAATCCCTTCGAATCGAGCTCAAACTAGCAACACGTTAACTTGCACGTTACTCGAATGTACGCGAAATATACCCTTCAGGAAGCCAACCCGACGTCACATAACGGCCCACATGGGCCTCCACCGTCACCCAAACCAATTCCTTCCCTTTTCCCGCCAACGGACTCGCCCGCTTTTTCCGCCCACCATTCTCTCATGCTCTATTTCTACTTCTTCTTCCTCTGCTCCTCCTCCTCCTCGGCCTCCTCGGTACTCTTCTCGAAGACCTATGCGATAATGGTGGATTGTGCTCCAATATATTATTTAGACCACCGAAAAAAGACCCCATCGAGTCTGCACTCTCTCGCAGCTTTACAAGATGAAAGAGCTCCATCCCTGCACCCTATAAATACCAACCCCGGGCTCCACTCTGCCCACACCAAGCAGCAGTTCTTCCACAACAAGATGGCCAAGCTTTGCGCTGTTCTCTGCCTTCTGTTGGGTGCTCTCGCGTTCTTGGCGATCGCTGCTCCCGGCAGCAGCTCCTTCGTCGAGAGGCAAGGCACGCAGTTCGTCCTCGACGGCTCCCCGTACCTCTTCAATGGGTTCAACTCGTACTGGATGATGACTGTCGCGTCCCAACCCGCCGAGCGGGCGAAGGTCTCGCAGGTGCTCGGCGAAGCTGCAGCCGCGGGGCTCACTGTTTGCCGAACGTGGGCGTTCAGCGACGGAGGCGATGGAGCTCTCCAGATCTCACCCGGAGTGTACGATGAGCGAGTGTTTCAGGTGCTTCAATGGCTCTCGTCAATCGTACGAGCTTAATGATTTGACTAAAAATGCAACTTTGCTCGACTGTTTGTGCATTAGGGACTGGATTTTGTGATCTCGGAGGCTCAAAGTCATGGTGTTCGCTTGATCCTGAGTCTGGTGAACAATTACAAAGACTTCGGAGGCAGAGCTCAGTACGTGCAATGGGCGAGCAATGCAGGTGCTGCTGTCGGTGGTGAAGACGATTTCTATACCAATCCGGTTGTGAAGGGATACTACAAGAACCATGTCCAGGTATAAGCAGTAAAGAACACCTTCTATTTTCAGCATTTTACGTGCATGCATTTGATGCAAAGCAGACATGCGAGTGCAATTCTCTCCTGATGAAATCAATTGCAGAGAGTGTTAACAAGAATCAACACCATCACCAACGTAGCCTACAAAGACGACCCAACGATCATGGCATGGGAACTAATAAACGAGCCTCGTTGTCAGGCAGATTACTCAGGGAAAACGGTGAACGTGAGCATCACCACCCATGATCTTTTCTTCACTCTTCTTTTGACACCTTCAAGAAGCAATCTTAATCTTAATTTCTCATATATTTCTCACACTCTGGACAGGCCTGGGTTCAAGAGATGGCAAGTTATACAAAGTCGCTGGACAGCAAACACATGCTAGAGATAGGAATGGAAGGATTCTACGGAGACTCCATGCCGGAGAAGAAGCAGTACAATCCCGGTTACCAAGTTGGCACAGACTTCATCACCAGCAATCTCATCGACGAGATCGACTTTGCCACTATCCATGCGTACCCAGACGTTTGGTAACCTAGCTAATTAGCTCTTTCCCTCAAAGGTTTGATCGAAGCACACAAACTCACCCTCCCTGGTTTCAGGCTCGCTGCGCAGGACGACGCATCGCAGACCGCCTTCGCTCAGCGGTGGATGTGGAGCCACTGGGACGACGCCACGAAGATACTGAAGAAGCCACTGGTGCTCACCGAGTTCGGGTTGTCGAAGAAGGACCCCGGCTACACCGAGAACCTCCGGGACGTGTACATCAACGCCATCTGCACCGACATATACAACTTGGCAAGGAGCGGCGGCGGGTCGCTCAGCGGCGGGTTGGTGTGGCAAGTGATGGCGGACGGGATGGAGTCGTACTACGACGGCTACGAGATCCTGCTGTCTCAGGATCCGTCCACGGACGCAGTACTGATGAGGCAATCACGCGCGATGTCGGTGCTGGCGCACACGATGAGCAAGCCTGCCGGCGGCCAGGTAGGGCATGCCGACGAAGCCGTAGCTGGCGAGCAGGAAGATGGCGTCGCTCATGGCGCGAGGTTGCATGGCCTTCACGTAAGGCACGTGCATGCGAGGGATGGAAAGAGCAGCTCCCACCCTTAGAGAGAACAGCAATTGCTTTTAGGATTCACGAGGGCTTGAATAGATTTCTACGTCAATAAAATCTGGTTTCGTTATCCTAAATTGCCTAAAAACTTCTGCTAATGCAATATATATTTTTATTTGTATACATATAGTTTAATTTTATTGTGATTTATTATCCGAAATGGATAGAAATAAAACTAAGATATAAATTATAATATTAATTCCACCACTAATAGATTATTTCCAGAATTATCATGAAATGTACAGGCCAATATGGGCCTATTTCTAAGCCCATATTTAAGCCCATTAACTCTATAACGAAGTTAAAGCCCTCTGACGGCCCAAACTCTATCGCTATAAATAAGCAGGCGTTCCATTCACCCCATCCGTAGACCCGTTCAAAAACCCTATCCCGAGCCTCTCCCTTCGACCTCAAACCCTAAGCCTAATTTCCCACCCCTCGGAGCTTTCTCCAATGGCGGATTCCGTAGTGGAGTTGGCGATCGCTCAGGTGGTAGAAGAAGTACAAGAAGAAGCGGAGGCCCTGGGAGGAGCGGAAGCACCGAAGGACGACGAATCCCCCGCCATGGCTGATGGGACCGTGACAGCCGCCGGAGATCACAAGCGGAAGCTAGATGATCTCGAACCCCGCGAAGGCGACGAAGAGGCACCCCTCAAGAAGCAGGAGGTCTCCGCCGATGCCCTGCCCCTTGCCGCCGACGAGCCCGGATCGGGCGATGGGGAGGTCGCCGCCGCGGGTGGATTTGTGGATCGCTCTGGTAATTGCTCGCTCGCTTTAAGCGCCTTCTGCTTTGATTTGTTCGTTGTTGGAGTTTCATTTTTTTTCTATATTTGGAATTCTCTATTGCTTATTGTTTCTTTTGATTTTAAGACGCATCCGCTGTGGCACTGCTTACTGTTACTTTGGCAGATGAGGTGAAATCGGACATTGCAGAAAGCGGTGAGCCAAAGGTAGAGGAGCCAGGGGCGGTTGATGTGAAGTTTGATGCCCAGGAGTTCCAATCTGGTGGAGAGTTGGATGGTTCCGGTATTGAATCTTCTCATTCTTTTTTGAAATTTATCTGGTAGATTCATTCGAGCACATGCTTGTCGGTTTATATCAAGGGTTGGTGGGTTAGGACATCTTTTGTTTGGGTTCTGAGCATCTGAAAGTTAGAGATTTTTTATTAATTTTAGAACAACTAAATTTATAGATATTATTCATAATTGATGGGATGGCCAATTATGTCTTTTGGGAGGTGCTATTTGCTGTCTTTGGTTGCTCTACTACATGCCTTATGTATCCACTTGGTAATAATTTTATATGTTATATGCATAATCAACAATGAAGTGGTCCTGATGTGATTTTTCATTTTATTTAAGCTCTTTACTTTTGGGTTGGGTATTTAGTCTATTTGTACGTTTGAAAGCAATAGTTTCAAGAGTTGATTGCCTCAGTTTGTTTCAGTGCTTATGAATCTTTTAAAAAGTTCTGATTCAGTTAATAACATGGTTACTGGCTAGCGTATGCAGTGGCTGCTGACACAGGAAAAGAGTTACATAAGCCAGAAACTCAAGAACTGGTAAATGGTGACGGACAGGGTGATCAAAGCGCCATGGTACCTCCAGCAGATTTGGGCACGATGTCTCGCAAGACTGAAGTTCCTAACAATAAGGTAATGGATGCCTGTGCTCTCAGCTGCTCATTGTCTTGCTTCTAACTGAGAAATTGGACCATCCAGTCATCAAGTTATAAATTAAAAAAGATACTGGTGCATCCTTGTGTTTCTTGCATTGAATGTGTATAATGATATTTTTATGCAAAATTTTCTTGTACATGTAATATTGATGGTTTTACTGCATCATATGTTCTTATTAGAGCTCTGCTTATCAAAACCGAGGAGCCTAGTTTAGATGCATGTATGATCATGCTCTTTTAGACCAACTTAATTAACCTGATAGTTCACAGTTCATCCAGTGATAATTGTGTGGGTGGGTTGGGCAAAGTTTGCTTTGCTGTGTTAGAATTGCCATTCCTGCCATAATACTGAAGAAGTGGATGACAATTGATAAAGTAGTTAATAACTTCAGCATCTTGAGCTCTTGTTCTGATAAAAGAAAATTTTATAAGCTGATGAATGAGTGCTAGAATCAACTAAATAAAATCATTCTGCATAGCAGTGGTGGTGACCTGGAAGCTATGAAACATGCTGCTGTCTGAAATCATTCATGTCCAATGCAAGTCATTTGCTTAGTAATGCATGGCTTCATTAGATTGGGGAACATGCTGCTATCTGAAAGCATGAAAAAAATTTCACCATCTCTTCTAAGATCTTTAACAAAGAACCCATGGGATGAGAATTCAGGATAAACTTTATCCATTACCTTTGGATTATTTCAAGCAATCTGATTCAATTAAGACCAAATGTATTGTGGTATGGATTGCCCTTTGGCTGTTTGCACTTCATCAGCATCTAAGTTGGAAGTTCTTAAGATACTGCTCCTTGTTTGGTATTCAGTACTTAAGAGCTTTACAATAAGCTAGAATTATGCTTATTGAGTTTGATCATGCACTTTTTCTCCATGATGTAACTGACAAGAATGTGCCTTGGTGTAATGGTTCTATTGTGACCTGTGCTTTAATGAGTCTAAAGAGCTAAAGTACAGGGATAAGAGTTAAATCTTGCTTAAGTAATTAATATGGATGGTACTGAAGTAAACAGAGCATAATTACTTTCAGACATATGATGAGTTGCAAGCTTCAGGAAGCAAACCTCTGCCACTTTTTTGTTTGCTGCCTGTCAATCATTCTGGCATAATTTTCATGAGTAGGTAGAACATCTGGAGAATCTATTGCATAAATGTACTGCAGGCACATTTGTCCTTTAACCACAGATGACATATTGTCTATCTTTTTACGAGGAAAAAAGATAATGACTGATTGCATTATGTTATGGAAGTCGATTGAGGTTATTTAGAGTGGCATCGAGCTTTGTGTTGTATCTGTCTTTTTGTAATTGAACTAGTGATGTACCAGTTGATCTAAGTTGGGATCGAGCTTTGTGTTGCATCTGTCTCTAAGTTGATCTTTGGGACATCGTGTACAGGTTGGTGTTCTTATTGGTAAAGCTGGGGAGACAATAAGGTACCTGCAATTAAACTCAGGGGCAAAAATCCAGATCACGAGAGATGCTGAAGCTGATCCTCATTCTACGACTCGACCTGTGGAACTAATAGGGACCTTGGAGAGCATTAACAAGGCAGAAAAACTGATAAAGGATGTCATTGCTGAGGTTTTTTGTTACTCAAATGTTAACATTTCTTTTTTATCTTTTCCTGTTCTTGTGATAATTTATAGCAGCTTTCTTGGTTACCTTTGTTTTTCGAGTTTTTTTTATGAGTTGCTTTTTTTTTATAGGCTGATGCAGGAGGTTCCCCATCACTTGTTGCTAGGGGCTTTAGTACTATACAGTCCGGTGGAGAACAATTTGAGATTAAAGTACCAAATGAAAAGGTATGAATTGTATGTATAAAAATGTTCTTTCTTTTGTGATTTGCATTGAAATTGTTTGTGTTGTTTTGTAGGTTGGCCTAATCATAGGCAAGGGTGGTGAGACTATAAAGAACTTACAGACCAGATCTGGTGCACGCATCCAGGTAAAGATCCTTATGTCGGCAGTTTGAAGTTCATGAACACTGTACAGTTTTGACAATGACTGGATGAATTTCAACTGATTTTCATTTCAATCTACTGTTTTTAGTTGATACCACAACATCTACCTGAGGGTGATGCATCAAAAGAAAGAACTGTACGAATAACTGGAGACAAAAGGCAAATTGAAACTGCAAAAGAAATGATCAAGGAAGTAATGAATCAGGTCTGTTGTGAGACGATTTTTCTTACTTTTTGGTTGATAGCCTGCCTTTTACTTTCCATAACTTCAATTTTACCATCTGGAACTTAGTAGGCATCAATTGTTGCAACTTGAATAAAACGATGGTAAGGTGGTTATTTCTCATCAATATTATCTCAGGAATGTTTGCTGTGAAGTTCTGTTTGTTTTTGGTATGGAATAATCGACTTTGTTGTTTAACCTAGTACTTTGTTAGCTACTTGTTAAGAAGTTAGGTGGGAAGTGGAAAAACCACAAATTATTTTTCAACTTGGCAAAATCAGAACCAACCATGTCTGAGGATGAATATAAGACTCGAAGGTCCAAGGGTTTGTTAACAAGTAAGAGGACTGGGTGTCCATGCAATTGTATTATTAGGTCAAGAGAAAATGGCAGCTATATTTAACCTGTCTTTTGACCAATGATGACTTTGTGCCCCACTTGTGGCCATTGCAAACTTGAGAACCATGAATTCTAAATTTCGAAGAGAAAAATCTCTCTCGCATAAGATATAAGTGCGGAACCTGACTCCTATTTTCGGTGATTTCTCATAAAAGAAATATAAGATTTTTCTGTGTATCACCTTTCTTGGTCGTTTCAGTTTATCTCTTATATGTCAACTGTCATAATCATGGTTTCGCAAAATATGACAAATATGGTATATGATTTGGGTTGCTGGTGTGGAAGGTGTTCTATTAGTTGGTGTCGGGTTTCTTACTTCACCAGGTTGAGGCTTTGATCCTATGAAATTAATTATACACTTGCATTTTGCTGCATGATTCCTTGTAGTTTGAATTGGATCAATATTACTTCAGATGGTCTGTGGGTTAAAATCAGATGTTATCAACACTATCTCTAGAGATTCCTTTTATTTCAAGGCAAGGTCCTTGATATGATATTGACTTTCATAAATGATTGTTGGCCTACTATAAAAGTAAACATATTTGATGAAATGTCCATGCCTTTACTAAAGCAAGTCAATACGTCCTGTTTAAATTGCCACCAAACAGAGTTGAAATGTTGTTTCATGAAATTCTGTAGCTCTTTTGTTTTGTGATATTAGGGTTGAGATTTTTTATGTAGATTATTTGTCTTGCATCCAAAGAATGATATCTTTGCCTTCATGATCACCTTTGGTGAATAAAAGATGCTATTCCATGTCAACATCTATCTACTTGCTTAGAATGATCACCCTTTTTTCCTTGCGATCATGGTGGCCGGGAGTGAAACACTAATTGCTCATCTTGAGAATGAGTTTTTTGTAAAAAAAAAGTCTAACAACAGTTGTGTGATGAACGTAAAGCCTTCTTGCTGCCAGTTGCAGTGGTTTAATTGTGCAGAGGTGTCAATTCCAAATTGGTTGGCTTTCATAATGCAGATTTCGCTATGCCTTACAATTGAGGTCAACATTGGTTTCTTGGTGTAGCAAAAAACTCATTCCTCAGTCTCGTCCACAGAAAGAGGCATAAGTGGCTTTAACCTTTGCCATTGAAGAAGTTTAAAGTTGGTAAGACTGCTTAGACTGAAGATCAAATTCAATTTGTAGAAGTATCATGATGACGTTGGTGTTATCTGGTATAGTGGATGCTCCAAACATTTGCATGTGTTTAGATAATACATCATTCTGCAGAGTCATTACTGCCTTATGATAGAGTGGTGTACATGTTTATCATCTTGCAGTATGTCATGTATATACCCATGAAGTCTAAAGCTCTGGAATCTTCTCATTTGACGATGATATATCCATATCTTGCTCCATGACCAACCTTTGGAATCTGACATGCAATGTATGCTATTAAAATTTTTTAGATATTACACCATTCTGTATAGAGTCATTACTGCCTTATGATCGTGTGGTATGCATGCTTATCAGTCTGCAGAATATCATGTATATACCCATCGAATCTAAAGCTCCTGTATCTTTGTTCTCAGTTGATGATACTATAAACACATCTTGCTCCATGACCAACCTTCTGATTCTGATTTATGCAATGTTTGTTCATACTTCATAACTTTTTCTCCATTGCTACCATCTTATCTTCTCTTGCTTCACCTAAGCAAATAATTAATTATCTATTTTGGCTTGAATATCTGTTGCATTAATCAGACAGTTTCTCTTTCTTTTAGCCCATCTTCTCATATAGATGATAAATCTGATGCAGTGTCTTTCTCCATGTACAGATAGTTGCATGTCAGTTGAGATTATTGAAGGATGTAATGTATTTGTTTTTGTTCTCATGTAGCATGAGACATTACTAATGGAAATTATGCACATGACGATTGCTAAATTGCTATATTATATTTGAAATGCTGGCCCTTTAGATAGCAAACTTGCCCTTCTATTGTACTCATGAGTTGATTTTTCATGACAATGGCCAAGAAATGTGATATTGTTTTTATGGTTAATATTATAATTTGCTAATTCCTTCAGACATATTCTCAATTGCAAGTGACTTGTTTGTGCTAGAGTTTCCAACAATATCAATATCTGGTGTAAACAGAAAACTGCTTTTCCAATTTTTTGTAGTTGTGCAAATTTCTAATGCAAGGTTATGATTGAAACAGAGTTAACCTTGTGAAAGGAAATGATTTAAACCTTAATATCAACATAGTACTTGATATTTCTCTAGTATGTAATTGCAGCAGAAGTCTTGGTGTCACATATTTGTATGAGATTGTTTAATTTCATTTTTTTTCACTGACAATCATTCCAAATGGTAACTTTGTGGCTAAATGTTTTGCCTTCTGATTGTGGACGTGAACCTCAAAGGTAGGTCTTGTGTTCACTTGTTAGCTTACTGATGCTTATTGATGCCATTTCATTAATGTCCTTGTATTTCCTGCACATTTTTCATTACATGATTGCCACTTGGAATAAGTTGCTTGCATCAATAAAGAATGATTGTTAATTCTCATCTCTGTAATTCCAAAACATGCATCGGTGTCATGCAAAAACATTCATTAGTTTTTTCTCTGAGGTTTTGATTTTTTAAACTACCTGTAGCTCTTTATAGAATGTTTGTGTGATGCTTATCTATTTTTCCATTGTGTTACCTGGATATCATCAGTGATTATTAAGTTTATAGTAATTTGCAATCTTTGGCATGCCTGCATCTTCCATATCTTTGCGGAAGAGTTTCTCTGATCAGCAAATGTTGTACATTTTTTAGCTTAACCTGTTAGTTTGGCCTTATATTTTTCTTGTACAGTGCTCTCCAATCCTTCAATTCTTGTTTAGTAGCATTACTTTTGCCAATATATATATACACACTTGTTGCTGTGTTTTTTTGACAAAGTTGTTATTTTACTTTCATTTCTCTGTTTATAATGATTCATACTATGATCTGATTGTTGCATGACCTCAGAGAAAGACATCACGTGGTAGTACATTTAAATCTGTATTTTGTATATTTTTTTAGCCTGCTGTTTTTATCTAGTTGATTATGCACTGACAATCTGTATCTTCCCTGGCCGGGAATAAGGTCTATTGTTTTCTTAATTTTAACTGAAAATTTGGTGTTGGCAGACGCCTAGGTCATCGCCTCTCTCAGGTTATGGCCAACAAAACTATCGCTCTCGTGGGCCCACTAGCATGTCTCACTGGGGAGCCCGGGCAACAGCTCCGACGCAACCGACCATGGGCTACGATTACCAGCAAAGAGGCACGTACCCGCCCCCTCAGACGGCACAATATCCTCAGCCTTATGGTGGCTACTCGCAGCAGACCACTCCACGAGGCAGCTATAGTGGTAAAGACTGGGATCAGAGGTCATCAGCGCCTGTCCATAACACTCCAACTGGTGGATATGATTATTATGGTCAAGGTGGTCCAAATACTGGAACTCAAGCTTCATTGCCCAACCCCATGTCTGGCCCATCCCCAGGACCTGTGAATTATGGACGACCGCAAACTCCAAACTATGGACAACCTACTCCTTATGGACACCCTGCTCAACAGCACTACGGTCAGGGTTATAATGAGCCCAGCAGGTATGATAGTCAAGGACCAGGCCAACAGTTCTATGGCCAACAACAAACAGTGGGCTCGCAGCCAGGCGTCCAGTCCGGTTTCAGTCAGCAACAATCATATGGCAAGCCCCCTTATGGTGTTCCCCATCAGGAGGTGCCCCCATATGGTGTACCCCCAAGAACAAGTCAACCAGGGGATCCAACGTATCAAGGTCATGCGACATCAGCCTATGGATCTGGCACTACGACCCAGCAATATCCCTACGGTTCCAATATACCTTCTCAAGCAGCTCCTTACAACCAGACTTATGGGCCTGCCTCTGGTGCTGCGGATGGATACACTCAACCACCTTCGGCAGCTTACGCCCAGCAGGGTGGCCAAGCGGCTCCTCTTGGCTATGGTCAAGTTGCACAGCCAGTGCCAGCTTACACGCAACCAAGTTCACATTCTGCTGGTTATGGACAGTACGCTTCATCCCAACAGGGTTATGGTGATGCTGCAAGCAACGGTAATTATGGATATCCCAGTGTGCCTGCTGATGCAGCATATGGAACTACCATTCCTGGCTCGGGCTATGGTGCACCGCCAGCAGGCGGCGGTCAGCCCGGTTATGCCCAGCAGCCATCAAACCCATCAGGCTATTATGATCAATCGGTGGCCCGTTAATGCACCGTTGTATACGGAAGTTTCTCGCAATGGCGACCAGTGTGATTCTGCTCCCATGTATGCTCAAGTTCAGCTGTTGTCAGTCTATTTAACTTTAGCGTACTTGGTATATGATCTCTCGGCAGTTGGATTTCTGCGTGTGGGGCAATATGACCCTTCTATTGTCTTGTTGACTTTTAGTTTCAATGGATTATATTGACTCGGGATTAGGTTTTTCTACTACTGTTTCCCGGTTTTCCTGTGTATTGTTTCTGTTTCAGGGTGGCTATGGACAGCAATGGTACGGTCAGCTTGTTTCGCTTATTCTTGCGGATGTATTTGTTGCAGCACACACACTGGGAAGGTGTGTGTGTGTTGGTTCGATCATGCAATGAGGTGCAACAAATGGGATTGGGATGCAACCACAATTAAATTCTCTTACATCAGGAGAACGGTCAATCTCAAGGAATGGAACCAGTAACAGAAGCATGGGTTGGGAATCAGAATTTTATTCGCTCCTGTGAATTGCGTCACCGTCATAATGTTAGATGATATTAGGTTTGATCACCCTCCGCAAAAGTCATCATACTGTCAGTTGCTCGAGATTTGCCTATGTTGTTTAACACTGTTACAACCCACAAATGACATTATAGAAAATAAAATCCCTTGATTTCTCTGAAATGAGGCAACTCTTTTAAGGTAATGATGACATCGAGATACAAAATATACTCTCGTAAAGTTTGTTTACGCGTAATGTGTCCGGATTTGGAGTGCACCATTTCATCTCGGAGATTGCCATATTTTCATTTCGAGTTCACAATTCACATGTACACAAAAGGGTTTGAAGTACACTTTTTATTTCATTCTGATAGATCGATGGGGCCAAATGTAGAGCTGAAGGATAAAAATTGCTGTAGTTTGTATGCCGTGTGTGCCAATGCAGACACACAACCTTGTGCCCCAGCTCAGCAGTTTTGATGAATGATAAAAGGCTTGCACGTAACCAAAAGGAGTTGAGGGCTTCTCAAACCCGAATCATGATCTAAGCCGACTGCAGGTGATTTCGCAGATGACTCGGAGAATGCTTTTAGAAGTTTCTTCTTCCGGCAGTTTAAGCAGTTTAGCAACTCTTGAGTACGAGGCATGGTGATTTAGATGAGCCTCTCCTTGTAATGCTGTTTCAGGTTCTTTATGGAGCACCGGTGGTGACAAAGCCCACTGCATCGCCCATATTGCTAGAGGGCGCATGTAGCAAAGCGACCGATACTGGTCGTTGTTATTCCAAGCTTCAGGTGTCTGAAATGAATACCTGTCATCCAAATTAACTCAATAAGATGTCAACAAACTTTATTAGGATGGGTACATTCAAAAAGAACCTCTCCACTTTAAAACATAGTGGGCAAGAGTAAAGATATTTATGCTAAATCCTGAATCTCGGGAACTATTATGGCATGGCAGAACACTATAACTAATATCAATAAAAAAAATATCAGAATGTTTTTTGATTTGACTAGAAACATGCCTTGTACAGAAATCAATGACTAGAAAAGATCCATTAGTTGAACACAAATTAATTGGGACATTAAGGCTTGTTGTTGTTACAAGACATATATAATCCAAGTTCTAATCACACCACCCTAGACCTGACCCAATGGTATTGTCATCCACAATATAAATACTAATAGTCATCCTAACCATTTGAGTAGAATCTTTCTGAAAATAGTTCTAATTAGGGGTTCATTATTGTCAATAACTCTTGTGAATTCATTCCTTATAGTACTCGCCTTCCGAAACATGAAGTGCCCGTACATCTGAAACATGGTTTCCAACACTTGTGGTCGGCATGGGGCATATTAATAGGTATTTTCTGTCTAAAATAGGACCAATACTGGATCATATAGTCGGGGTAACAGTTTGTACTTTTTTTTTTTGTGGCTACCGATTGGGTTATCATGTGATACACCACTACTATGCTAGTTTTGTTATACTGGACCGAGTTCTATCAACAACACATCAGCACAATTAAAAACAAGGGTCTAGTGATAGCATGTGAATGCCACATTTGCACCATGTCATTGCTGATCTGCATATTGTAGAGTCCCATGAGTCCCACATTTATCTATGCATCATATGGACACTACATTATCATGTCATTGTGATGCAAGCGTAACATCAATATCATGTCAAAACACATTAAGTTTATTGCCTAGTAGGTTACAGCAAGAGCTAATTATCCAGTGGTGTAAAACATAGGTGAGTTTATATGTATTATGTGCTTTAAACCATAACTGCATAGGTTGAAGCTGGGCAAACCATTGGTGTATAAACTATAATTAGTCCTAATAAATTTGGTCATAACTTAATCTCTGTCCTACTTTGGTGCACAGACTATTTGCCATAAATAATTCGCAACAGGTTTATAAAATGGCAAGAAATAGTTGGCCAGACAAGTTAGCTGCTTTGCCCAAAAAAAAAGGGCCAGATAGAATAAAATTAAAAGGTGCAAAGATAAAATAGAATCTATAGACACCTGGAATTTGAAGGTGCTAAGATGGATTAATATTTTCTGATATAAAGAATTTATAAAACTGATATGCAAGCTTATGGCACCAAAAAAGGGTAAAAAGGGCCCAGGAATGCACATGTAGGAATGCAAAGGAATGACACACAAGGTCAATAGTGAACATGCCACTAGTAGGACCATGTAATTAGCTATGTTCATGGTGTGTAGAGAGGAAGTACCCTACATGATGGTTAACCTTGGATAAAGAACATTGACTGATGTTTCACAGTGTTGGAATTACAAAGGGATAGATACTAACCCCAATCCTTCTTGAGACCAGGCAGCTTCATATATCCCTTGTGCAGTTCTAAATGCTTCTTCCAACATGCCTTCTTGAATCATTGCGGCAGCAACTGAATATGTTACACCAGGCCATATCTCTCTTGACTGCATGGAAGACATATCAATAGTACCATCTGGTCTCATCCCATTAACTGCTCCTCTCTTTCCATCCTTGAATTTTAAGACATTAAAGCAAAAGATTTTATGAAATGTACTTTTTGCTTTCTCCTTATCAACAATTGGCGTAAGACCACAAGCTCTAGCATACCTGAAATATAGTCAAGTATTCGAAAAATTGAACTCTCACAAAAAGGGGATGAAAAAAGTGGCCTTACCCAACAGTAGAGCTGAGAGTCAAACATCACAAATACAGTAAGGTAAGAGAAGTAAATGAGATAAAACCAACAAATATTGTTACATATGAATGGATGCACGTTATTAGGCTACAGGGAAAAAATCAACTTGGATGCTGACAGAAGAACAACACAACATATATCATATAAATAAAATTGAAGTATAAAAGAAATTATATTTTGTTCTACAAAATTACCTTTGTGATGTAAACCTTCTGAGACAAATAGATTGTGTATGTATGAAACATCCACCAGGTAGCAAAATCCAATTAAATGAATATTTTGAACTAAAACAAATCACTTTTTTCTTTATGTACTTACCAATGTCCAGCTAATTGATCAGCCTGAATAGATGAGCTTGTCTTGCTACCAGAATTGTCATAATTGAAGTAAGAACCATTCCACAACTTGTAATAAACAGATTTTGCTTTCAGATACTTGTCCCAGAAAAGTTCTTCAGAGGCTCTGTCACCAACTTCACGTGCCATAGCCGAAGCAGCTTGCAGAGCAGCCACCCAGAGTCCTCCACTATATGAGCTAACACCGGTAGCTGACCAGACATCGTAGGTTTGATCAGGAAAGCCTTCATTTTCAATCATTCCATCTTTATCCTTGTCAAACTGATCCATGTACGACATGGCCATATACACCGAAGGCCAAACAGCTTTTGCAAAGGACTTATCACCGGTGGCTACCGTGTCTCTCCAAACTTGAAGTACGAATTTAGGGTTCAAGTCCTTCCATCTATCTGTGTTGTAAAGGTTGTAAGCATTAACTTTAAACCATGGGTCATAAAGCCCAAGATCATGAGGAACAGCCCCAAGAACTTTTCTTGCAGAGCACTTGCCATCGTGCAGAGTTTTGACCTTCTCAGGATCATGCATCATTACTGCAGCAGCGAAGTCTCGTTGAATGCTCAGTTCAAGTTTTGGAAACAGCATGATCAGGGAAAAGGATGAATAAAAATGGACATCATAGGTATTCCACATATAGTACTCAATCCCTTCAAGATAGAGAAACCGGCCAATGTTTTCTTCTCCTTGAAGTAGTGATGTCCCTATAGCCGAGTTAGATGCAATGGGCGCATGCAACTTTTCAAGTATTGATGCCATTCTATCAAGGAGATTGACTGCAGTGTTCTTTCTTGTTATGACCTCAGTCAAGTTGTCAAAATCTCCATTCGACATATCAAGGGAGAACTTTCTTTCCTCAATAGTTGCTAAACTCTGAATTGGTGGTGACCCATCTGTGGTAGGACATGATGAACTATTAGTTACAAGAAAATATTGTTTGTCAAGTATGGTACAAATGGAAAATCACCTGTCCAAATAGTTCCTCCAGCATTAAAATAATATAGTTCATTAAATAATGTGACAGCATACCTGAAATGAAACTTTAATAAATGTCAAAACCATTTTGAAGCATTAATTTTTTATTGTATTTGGTATGGTATCTAGAACATACCAAGCGGGGAACCTCTTATCCTGCAAAATAGGATTTTGCCATTCCTCAATCTGTGTCTCCCAGGAACCATGCTCTATTGAAGTTAGAATGAAGGAGAAAGATTTAGATGTGAACTAATTTAGGAGCAAAAGCTATGAAGGCTGGAGCAAAAGCTGTGAATTAATTTAGGAGCAGAAGCTAATAAATATATATTGGTCCATCAGAAGAAAAATCAACCCAAAGACATGTAACAAACTGAGCCAAATATCATACCAATAATGGCATCATGCACAAGATTTGCTGCTGCATCACAATCAATTCCATAAAATTTTGTATAGCGCCTGTCATCACAACTCAATTCATCATAAACAACAGAATTACTTGTGCTCTTAAAACTCATGCAATTGGATCGTAGCTTGCTTACCTGTGATAAATCTTGCCACTAGGAAACTTTACTTCAGGGCAAGCCCACGCTAAAGAAAATGTCACAGTACGGGTCGTTTGTGAAGCAAGTGCCACAGAGGCTGCAACAGCTGCTCCAATTGATGATCCAGGTTCAGAATGAAAGGAAATTTCATGAGCATCAAGGTGGTCAAAAGATCCATGCTGTTTGGTGTAAGATGTTCAACAAAATGGCAATGTAAGACTTATGATAATAAAGAAAGAAAAACAGTTAGTTCATATGATAGAGGATTCTGTACTAATAAACTCTTCATGAACTTCTTTCTAGATAATTGATGCTATAGCTCAAAGACTTAATAGATGTGTTCTGAATGACAGGAAGTAAAAGAGAAATGAAGGAATCTAAATCAATAGCAGAGATTAAATGTCAAATCTGATTCATATGATAGTCTACATGGATACCTTCTTCAACACTGAGATTATTTGTCTTCTATATGAGATTATTTATGTTCTCTAGATGAACACAGCTCCTTTTTTCCAGATTTAGCAGATTATTTGAAGGTTGCTACTAATTTAAATGAGCTTAAAACCGTCAGGGATAAGGTAGATCATCCTTGCCACCAGCTTGACTTCTGGGCATATGAAAAAGCTCCACTCTTGCTTAGATAATCCTTGATCGAGAAATAGACACAAATACCTAGAGAATCAATGTTAAAGACAAATTGACGACTTGCAATGTTTTGAACTATGACCGAGCATGTTGTCATAGACTGAGCTTCACAACATAGGCTATATGGTGTTCCTACACTAACCTTCTTAAAAGAACCATTCAGCAAACGGAACCAAGGATAAATACTTTGCCTGTCGATGAAAGGCACATGAGGTAACACAGTTTTACAGGAAACGTAGAAAACATCATTGATAAGTGAAGAGCTTCAATTGAAAAGTAAGACAAGGCAAAGGGGCCAGTAGAAAAGGAACAAACAATCACCAGAAATTCTATATACCGAGAAATCCACTTAATTGTTCTTGCCCACCTCCGAAGTATTTCCTAGAAGTCAATCCAACCAAATGCCTACATTGGTATCATAAATGCCAAGATGGATGGCATTTTTTTTTGTAGCATTTCAGTTCTCTGCTAAATCATAGTCGAGGCCATAGCATGATGAAAACCTAGCCATCACAGTGTAAAATCCCCTTGTGTATGAACTGTCGAGGATCTTAACATTCTGCGCCACATAATCAGATGGATACCAAACAATTCCAAGAATTGACACCACACAACAATGAACACTTTTGCTAGTAAGTCTTATATTCATGCAAGCATCAACAAAGTTACAATCCCTGGTTCCAACAACCAATATGATATTGTATGAACCACGTGCAGATTGACATGCAACACAAAATTAGACTGTCCTGCCTGGCACACATTTAAAGCCATTGCCTTTCATACCCCCAAGTGAAACTAAAAAAGAAAACACGACTAGTTGAAACTAATGGTTATCTGTTCCTGTTTAGTGTTCACGGCTCAGGCTAATTTGATTGAGCTTTTAAGGGTTCTCTCAAAATGTCAGCTACTCAAATTGTTTTCCTTCTTGAGGATCGGCCCTCATGAATTCCAGCATAAGCTGACCAAGGAATCTACCACCAAGCAACCGTTGACTGATGTATAATCCTCCAACTTAGATGAGGACCTAGAAAGGAGGCTCAATGATATTTTCACACCAATGGACCATATTGATTGGTCCATCAACCAGAATGGCATAAAACACCAAAAAGCAGATCCTTGATGTACTGGATTGTAACTTCTTTATTTTAGACTACCAAACAAAACCTGCAATAAAGCATTACTGCCACATCTTATGAAAAAAATTGCAAAACATCAGCCAACATGCTATGCAAGCAACTAAATTCAGGTGACCAATTTAGAATTGGGAATTGTGGGATGGTTTCAGCATAATGAGATTAAATGTCAATTAATATCACAAACCTCTTTGATTGCAGACCACATGTCCTTAGCTGTAAATGCATCAGAATCTCCACTTATCATGAAGCAAGGACATTCAGAGACATGGACATCAGCTGTTTCTTCTGCTGCTATGGCAAACGTTACTGGAGGTAGACCATCATCGGTCCTGTATCCACATATATAATACCCCAGAATAAGTAGGATCTACAATAAAAGGATATTACCACCAGCTCAACAACCCAATGTTATCATTCATGATATTCTGTTCAGGGTCTCAATTTTCATATTAAAAAATACCTATGATGTAAAAGTACTCCACGAACACCATCTTTCTCTCTGCAACAATAATACATGTTAAACACCATATCTTACATATTTAATAAGGTACAAATAGAACATCTGCTGAATAGAAAAAAGGTGAATGAATTTTATGAATGAGCTGGTTAGTGTATTATACTCTTACACCATTTTTGAATTAGAGTGATATCCAGAAAACTCAGAGGTTCCACCCACAGAATTCTGCAGAAATCAAAGAAAGTAACTAAATGGCCATTTTTCTCCATTTAGGTTATATTAAATGATTAAAACACATAAATAAAATTAATTAAAAGAACATCAATGACCAATAGTACAAGCATAAAATCTTGATAGATTTGTAAAATAATGATGCAAATAAATCAGAAAAGTATTTTTTTCTTACAGCCCATGTGAAAAGCAATGTTACTTCAGCAGCAATCTTTGCCAGATTGGTCAGCTGGAAATATCATAAAACAACAGCTTAAAACAATATATAGTTATTTGCCATGACATAAGTTATCAATTTGTTTTTCTTTTTTACTGTGAATGTGAACACTGCAACAGGGTAGCTGCTCTCTTTGTAATTGTGAGGTATAAATGGTGAAATTTGGCAGCAAACTATTTTAAGATCTGGATCAGGTTCTCCTGCATTGGCAAATACAAAGACAGAGCAAAAATGAACCACATACAATGATCATAAAACATTTTCAAAATCCATATCAGGTAATGGTGATTACCGTCATAGATAGTCCAGGCCCTTGGATACAGAGCATGATAGGTAGTATTCTTACCATCCAGGTTCCAATCCCAAGATCCAACTCCTGAAATGGAATTTTGTCTGCATATCAAGAACTTCAAATGGTTTTAAGCTTTCTGAACAATGTGAACCCAAAAGAAAGATAGATATCTAAGTTAATAAATTCTTAAATATTAATTTTTTTTGTTACTCAAGGATACAAGGGAAAGCCAAAAAAGAAAGTAACTGCTTACTTGATCAATTCTGGGTTCCTAGGAGACAGAACAGTTGAGTACTTCTTACCATCCGAGCGTGAGATAAAAACCTACCAAGATAGACATTGGATGAGATAAGGTTCTAAACTGTGATGCTGGTATTTATGGATATTCATCAATACTTCATTTCAGGGAAAGTGAACACCCTTCACTTGGTTCTTTAGAAGATGTGCAATTTTAGTGTTGGATGCCACAACATTATTACCAAGCAATTAGTTGAAATGCATAACTGTGGAAAACTACTTTGCTCTTTCGTGTATTTAAAACATCAAATGAACATTCATTTTATAGGGAAACAATCTGATGGTGATCATGCAAAAGTTAACAATCTAATTTCATGTTTCATACACATTGTAGAAAACAATCACTGAGATGAGGATGTCAAGATAGATGCAAGGGTTTAGTAGAAAAGATAGAGTAGGGTTTACATTCATGAACCATAAATAATAGTTCCAATTGAGGATAAATAACATGAACTAAAAAACACATTAAAATATGTAGAAATATATGGAGAAAAATAAATAACACTTATCACACATCTCTTTACCAACATCATATTTGAAACAAGCTTAACATATAAATGTGACTTACAGAAAATTGATTTGCTAGTACAGATTTGTCTTCACAAACTCCAGGGAACAATTGCCATCGTTGAAAATCACCTCTGTAGCTTCTTCCAATACTTCCTACACTAAATGCCAAAAAATCCAGAGAAGGAAACAAATCAGCTTATTAGCAACTACTGATGCAGAAGTGGACATTCTCTCTCATCTGAAAACAGATTAGCATAAAATAGCTAGAAGATATTTGAAATGAGTTAAGAGTTAAAACCAGCTCTTATAGAATGGAATAGAATTAACTTGAAGAACAAAAAGGTCATATGCACTAAAGTAGTACAAAGCAAGGTGTTAATATTCAATAGTATACCAAGCAGTAAACAGCCTATATTATCCAACTATATGGTTCTGTACCAGTCCTTGGTCAAGCCAGTAAATATTGACTGGTATATACTAGTTTGGCCATTATTTGAAACTACCAAATATTGTTATCAATTGGTATCTAATCGGACTTTAGTGCTAGCTTTATAACAAGTGCTAAATGCACTGCCCAGCATAACTGGAGAAAAATGATAAAACACATAGACTTGATGATGTTGTTATTAAATGAACAACCAAACACCACAACCTGCCATGATAACCATTCTATAAAGTTAATCCATTCTTTGCTTCCTAACATCAAATGAAACTCCATTTACCTCGAAACAACAAGCTACTCTAAGCAAGGTTTAAAATACTGTCTGTAACAGTGGGTATGGACCAATACTTATCAGTTCAACAGTCAACCAAAGTATGAACCGAGCACTTTTGTGCCAGTTCAGTGCATTGTGGATTATACTGCCTAGTAAGCTTACCAGGCGATAAGCCACCTGGTACCAAATTGTACCAGACAGTATGCCTACTATTGGTACCTGTAGTCATCTCTCTGTCACATTTGCTTTCTCTCACATGCTCTCTCTTTCTCCCCTTCTCTGCTGTTGCCTCCTCTTCCCTGCCATGTTGCTGCAGTCTCCTCATCCAGGTCATCACTATTTCCTCCTCTTTCTACCAGCATGCCTCTTCATCCTCCAACGCCTCCTCCACTCTTCTCTCCCTCTTCTCTCTGATCTGAGCAGTATCAGCTTGACTGTTAGTATGTCAATCTGTACCCAAACCATACTGATTCGGCCACTGACTAGTATCTATATCAGACCTAGATTTTCTAAACCTTGGCTTCAAGTATTGGTAGAGTGTTATATTTATGTGACTTCAAATGAAATAAGATACTGATAGGTACATTTCTAGCTTGCTTATCTATGATACTATTATTTCCTGGAATCGCACTTGAGACCTTGAGTAAATTAGTAGTGTTATATTCAGTTTTACCATTTATTTACTTCAGTTGTTCTCATATATTCCTATCTTAAATATATTGCATAATCTCTTGTAGCATAATTAGTTGGAAGAGTCATTGCATTCAATCTCATTGTTAGTGTTTTAAGGTTTACCTATAGGTTGTACTAACCCTGCATTAGCAAAGTTAGAATATAGAGTCCAAATTGCATGAAAGATCCAAGAAATTTCCATAACATTTTAGAAACAAACTGTTCCTCATAAAAGCATGTTAACCTGCAAAATAGAGAAGTACCCAATGCCACCAAGAGGAACACCCTGGCAGGACATACCAATGCGCTTCTTCAGAGGGTCAATCACCGCAACCTAAAGCCAAATATCATTCCCAAAAATTATGCTAAAAGACAACAATGTCGAAACGATGGTATGATATAAATTTGCATGGAACAAATGTAATCATATTATTCACCTGTCCTCTTGCAATGTCTTCAACAATTTGTCTTCCAAGTCGAATACCCAGTGGAGCCTGCATAAACCATATAACAAGTAATCTGACAAGAGAACAAGTTTCTGTGAACCTGCATGGCTAATCTGTCATAATGAATAATGGCCCAAAAACATCAGAGTTATTTGCATGTTTCTAAGTGATAGTCCAGAAAAGAAAAGATACTGCTGAATCTGACATGAAGAGACAGAGTTTTGCATGTAATCATAGGAGCATGAAAACAAGTGGCCTACCAAATTCCTGGTAACTAGATGATATAAGTAATGCAAAAGCAGTAAAGTCCATCCAAAGTGAAACTAAGATCAAATAGGACCATCAAAATGACAAACTTCATTAGAAAAATACTTCATTTAAGCAGAATTTTAATTGGATATTTGTTGCCACAAAAATAACAAATCTTTTGTTTATTACTGTATAGAGAGTCAAATAAGAAATATTCAACTTCTGAGATATGAATTCAAAGCTTTAAACACTTCAGATGTAGCTAACAAGATGAAATTGTAAATGAACTTCAAGCTTTCTTGTATTATATGATACAACAAGTAGAATCGTAATATGTGATTGAAAGCTGTTAGGAGTTTCACCTAGCAGGAAAGGCATTATCCAGCGAAACATCTCAATTTGTTACCCAACATAAAGTGAAACATCTAAATAGGAACTGTGAAATGGATGCTGTCAAAGCAAAGACAATATTAAAGTTAAAGTAGTGACAGACACAACTAACTTGGTAAAATCACTGATCAGCAACCTCATGTTTTGGTTAGTAAAAATCTTATCAAACATACATGTTTATGTGCCATTTCTTCTGCACAAAAATAGCATATATATGATATCATTATGGTTAAGAAAGTTCTCCATGCAATTTTTTCCTTCTCTCGTGCTGTCATGTCTCAACTGATAATAGATAGTATGAACTGTGAAGGCGTATTGACATTGGCTTTAATTTGTGACAATCAAGTTTCCACTAAAGGTCCAATGCAAGGGGGTAAATTTTTCTTCATTCTTTCTATGGTTAACTATATTCATGTTTAATTGAAACTTTTCCTCCCATCACAACCTTCAATGTCATAGCTAAACCTAATTTAATTATAACAGCTACACTGATTTATTCCAAATCTTTAACTGGACATTGTATACAATGTTTTCTTTCACCATTATCGTTAATTATTTTCTGCACTCCATTAAAAAGCATAACTAAGCTTGCATTTGATTAGTGTTCTTTTCAAGATCATCTTTTTTTTCGGAATCTTTAGATACTCTATACAGTTTCCTTAAGATACACTTTCTGCTTTGTCGTTTATCACAGAAACAAGCAACAAAAGGATATTTTTGCTCTATATAAATCTAAACTAAGATCCTTACCCACACATATTAAAGCTTCTTTTCCTAAACAATATGTACTTTGAATGTGAACATTTAACTTAAAAGGACACAACAAGGAGCATGTAAAGGACATTTTATATTGGCAGAAACTCATACTTGTCTGTGGACTATGGTGCTACTTAGAACTAAATGGACAACTTAACAGAAGAAAAGGAAATATAATGTTTCATCAGTTCAAACAGGCATCAAGATTCAGAAAGACAAAATGATAATTTGTAATAATTTCGACTAAAATTAAAATGTCATGCCCCATTTTGTCCACTCAGCACATCTAAATTGTTAGGTTTCCAGTCTATGACCTAAACAACAAAAACTTGGCAATGGGAACAAGTTCCTAGTTCAGAACCCAATATCATAACCAAACCTCTTCAAATTACTTGTGAAATATCTTATTTCCACTGAATCATGATTAGCCGTACCATTAAAAAAGAAGAAGATTCAGCAACAGCAATACCAGTTTTAGCTTCTCTCGCATGGTTAGAGTGAATTCAGACAATTGGTGGCCCTTGTCATTTACTTTCCTCTGCCATGTTAACGAGGGAGGTTGTCCATTATCATGGTTTACCTAAAGGATAAGATAATCCCAAGTCAAGTTAATATCAACGATAACAGTGGATAGCATGATGTTGAGAGATAAAATGAATAGTAGCAAGACAACTGTTGATATTGAAAAAACATTCAAATACTCTGTAATCAACAACCAAAATATTAACTATATTTAAAAAACCAAAACATACCAAAAGGTCATCTGCCCTGGAATGTGGATCGCTCAATAGTGGATCCTTCATTCTTTTCGTGTTACCATTCTCAGACATCTTGATTCGGTCGACCTGGTCAGGTTGAAGCTTTACAAATTAGGTTGAAAATTTTGGCTCAATTGTTGTATTAGACTAAATTTAATAGGCTAGAAAAGAAAAGCAAATTTAAAAATAATAAAGGTCGCATGGTTTTATAATAAACTTTGACTGACATATCACAAGTTCCATAACCATATGCCAGAGAAATATTCTAAAGCATTGGAAAATTCAACGCCAATTAATATTATGGTAATTTTGCTCAGTCAACTGCTACTCATGGGGACTTATGGAACAAAACCCAATTCGTTAAAACACTAGGATTAGAGTGGCATCATCACCATTCAATTGCTATTAAAAAAATCTGAAAAAAGTGAATAAAGACTGATTGAAAATTTGGAGTTGCAGCACATCTTAGATTTTCTCACTCATAATGCTCTTATCGGTGTAGGTAACCTAGTAAAATGACAGACATAAAATTATATGTAATCGTTCTCTTTTTTTTTTTTCTTTTGGCTTTTTCCTTCTTTGTTTCCATCTGTTTGGATTGTAAACCAGACTTGATACTATGCCACAACTTTTAAAATCACAAAAAGAAAATCAAGGAATTATTACCATGCAAGGGAAGTGATGAATACAATGTGCCAATACATACGTTACCTTTTCAGAGGCAGTTTCAAATGAAATTATTATTTGATTCATGGCGAAAGAAAATGTAATCAACATGCATCTCTACAATGTTATTCCATATACTTGAAGATTATAAGAGATCTATGTAAATCCTTAAAGATCACATCAGAACTCTGATCTCTTGTTCTAACTGCAATGTCAAATTCGATTAAAATTACAAAATCGTGAATAGGATCAACGGGGTAATTTTAACAACATCGCATTAATCAAATCATACATAAAATCGAAACCAACGTTCTCACAAGGATTTAAAGATGGATAACTCAAAATTTCCTCTAAACCGTTACATCAATTGCGAACAAGAGACAAAAAGATCCTTCAACCAAATAATACCCCAGAAGAACCACTTTATTACCGTCTAAAGAACTCGTTTGAACCCCAAATCTAAGAAGAGCAAAACCTCTCCCACCTACTGCAGACAGTACTCAAATAAAAAAGATCATAGGAACAAGCCAATGTCTTCTGAAACCGTGATGAATCGCCGGTTAATGACGCTCAACCAGAAGATCAAGAAACATCATTCCACAAGCAAGGGCCGGCACTCGATATTAAAAGAAGAAACACAATATTTAGTTTGTAGATCACAATCTACCTAAAGTACCGAGAGAGAGAGAGAGAGATTGCCCAGATTGGATCGGAACTGGGAAGGAGGAGGAGAGATTTGATCGGCAGAGAGCCCCAACCTGTAACAGCGGGCGCGGGCGAGAGCGAGAGCGAGAGCGATTAGTGAGATGTAAATGTCGTTGTTGTAATTGGTAGCCAACGTGATATTTATTTATACTGTCACAATTCAGCATAATTACGAGGGGACCAGGTGTCCCCAGATGATCTCAGTCGTTCATCACGGTGATCACCCGATCGATCGGACGGATGGTGATCACCCGGCCGGATGGTTGGATGTCTGGGTCATTGTTCGACGAATGGGAATATCTTAGTTTTGACGGTTCGATCGGGATCGGACGACAGGTGTCCGATCTCTCCGGGAGAATCGTGGGAGATTTGGCGAGTGGGTGAAGGATGGCGTGAGAATGACTTTTGGATTCCGATCCGACGGACCAGGGCGCTCGATGCCCCCGCGAAAGCGACGATCTCGCGGACCAATTGGGTGGGGCAACGTGGCTTTTGAGATACCTCACCGTGTGCCGACCAATAGGGTCACCCGTTGCGGATCGAACTTTAAATACGGTTTTATTTATTTCAGCATATACATAATTATAGACTAACATAGGAAGACACGAGCATAATAATAATAATATTTAATATGATCAGAATCTTTGGCTACAATTCGTTCATTCAGATACATTTTTTTGTCATCATCAACTCTCTCAAAAAACCAATCTTATTTGTGAGCTATACAGGTGGATGTCGGAAGAGTGTTAATAATATCTAATATATTTTTTGGGGTGGAAAATAAATAGGATATTGAGCAACAAAATATACATATCTTCATATTGTGGACGGCCACTTGCCCTCCAGTGATTGTATCAGCTGACGGCCTTCAGACACCAAAGACGAATTAAGATTGCTTAGCATCGCTCCACGTGACCCGTTGCAATTTAGTACCTGTTCGCGCTCCGTGATTCGTGCACGGACGAGGTGCGCGATGACGACGACGCCGGCACGCCATGTCGGCCACCGCCCAGCGCCACGGCGGCCGACTCGACGTGCGCGATGAGGTAGTCGAAGATCTTCCTCCTCAACCGCTCGATCGTCTCCGGTGGAACGCCGCCGTCCTCCGCCATCCCGTCGCCGCCCCTCTCCCCGACGCCGTCTAGCCAGTCGTTCACCCTCTTCAGCTGCGACAGCGTCCCCGCCACCAGGTCGCGGTCGCGTGGCCCGTCCGCGGCCGCCGCGTCGGCGTCCAAGAACCGCTCCACGAACCCTAGGAACCACCCCCTCACCTCCCGCCTCAGCGCTCGCCCGACCGCCGCCACCTCCGCCACGCCTTGCCCGCTCACCCACTCTCGCGGCGGGGGGAGCGGCGGAGGCGCCCGGGGCTTCTGGATCGAAGCCGAGGAGCGCTGCTTGATCTGAGAAACGGCGGTGGGGGCGGACGAAGTGGAGGAAGACGTGGGCTTTAAAGGGGATGCGGGTTTGCGCGGGGCTTCGAGGACCACCGAGACCGTTGTCCCCCGATGCTTCGAAGGAGAAGCGCCGGGGCCGTAGAGGGAGAACGCGGAGAGGTCGGTGGCGATGGCGGTGTGGATCCAAGCAGCGGCGAGCTTCCGGTGGACCCCGGAGACGCGGAGAGCCTCCTCCATGGTCGGGTCACCACCCAGCGGGTCGGTCGGTGAGGTTACAGCGAGTTTGAAGAGGGAGTCAGCGACGAGGCCGGCGCGGGTGAGGGTACCGAATAGTGCGAAGAACTGCTCCACTGCCTGTTGCGGGTTATCATCCTCCGCGGAGGATCGTAACTCGGCGTACATGCTGCTCAAAACAGGTAAGACAATTAAACCATGAAAGAAGAGAGGAAAGAAATATTTTTTTGAATTATAATAAATACAAATATTCTGAAATAAAAAGGATCACATGATTCCAAAATGGGAAGCATTTGTTATTAATGGTTATGATTTGATTAATCTCACTTTCTCAATGTTGTTATCTATGATTCCTCTGCAAGTAGAGGTTGCTTGCTAATATACATATATTCACTTGTATTAGATATCAAGTTCCAAATGCCAAATGTCATAATAGTTACATATTAGTTGACATTTGGTACACAAAATTTGCCACACAATTCAAATCAGACTACAAATCCTGTACTGAAGATTTATTAATTGGAAACATTTGTTGCAAGTTATTGCATTGCTATGATTCTAAAGAGAGCATCTCATGAACATTTCATCTACTAAGAGAGAGAGGGAGAGAAAGAGAGAAAAGTAAATATGGGTTGGAGATCTGTCACTGACATTTTATTCTGACATAAGAAGCACATTCTTGTGTCTCCCTTCAATGTCATCCAACACAGTGTTAAAGGAAAAATTCTGTGGTTTTTGAAGCTTTATGATGACAAAATCTCATCAACAAGCCTTTGGGCAAATTTCTTGTGCCAGATTAGCACCAGAGGCATGGTAGTGCTATTTACTTCACATGAGTTTTAGCAATTCAATTAGTATTGGTTATGTATGTCCACAGGCCTTTTAGGATGTTCGACTTCTCTGACTACTCAAAAGACTGCATTTAGCCAACTACTAAACTTGGCTAGTAGCTTTCTAATTACTTTTGAATCAAGTGACCATTTTTATCTACCTTTGATTCTTTGCAGTTTAGCTTCCTAAATAGTAAATACTTTTCTAATAACTTCAGAGTTGACATGGTATCTCCACATACACTAATATTGATTTGTGATGTTATAATCAGAGTGGCTAAACAAATTTGATTCAAACTGTTATCAAGTAAAAAGAAACAAGAAACAAGAGGCAGTAATGTCAGAGCATAGGTACTCAGTCCAATAATGCAGAGATTTGTCAGAGTCAGGATCTTACTGTGATCAACACAGTAGTAAGTTTGGTCAAGAAGGCCCACTGTTCAGAACAATCAAAGGTGTTCTCCATCTTCTCTACAAACTAAAAGGATCTTTCTCTTGAACATTGCACTGTCAGCATTAGTGGTATCATTTGGCATAAAAAAGTACCTACTCTACTTGATGTATATCAAACTATAGTAGTCTTAAATGAGTTTTGCTGGACTCAACAGGATTGCTCCGATTGATGGGGGCATTACTTGTAATCATTTTCTGTCTCTCTTTGTAAAAAAGAAAGGTTTTAGTGAGTTATGCCTACATCATGACATATTGTTTTGCTCTTCAATTACATTAATGAAAGTTAGTTAAATCTGAGCTTCTGACTAGTATTTAAAATGTAAAATAGCAGCATGTTCATGACACCCTTCTCTGCCATTCAGTTCATTGAATAACTCGAGAACAAATAGATATTCACAGTTTCTGCTCAAAAAGGACAAACAATTAAAGAAAAGCATGACAATTCTGGGGCAGAGAGATAAATAGTTTATGGATTCTAATAAATCTAGGATTCTGAAAGAAAGGATTACATTGCATATGCAGCTCATGATTTCATATTAATTTTATGGAATAAAACATAGTCAACGATGGTATGTTAATCACATACGTCTATACAATAATCCATAATCATCACCTTGACTTTTTTTTTAATTGTGTAGTTTTTTATTTCAGAGTTCTTGATTTGTCCTACTTTTATGTAACAGATTTATGCACATTAATCACCTGCATTACATGATTGCCTTTTAGAATATTAGATGCTATCTACGATGATATGCTTACAGGCCATGTTATGCCATGTGAAACCCAAATTGCAATGGGACATCTCTTAGGGGTAGGCATTAACCTCCAAGAATATAGCAAAATTTGAAATTAG